TTTAAAAATGATTTACGAGTGGTTTGTGATGAGAAAAAGCAATAACTTATTGCCAATAACTGTATGAGAAAACAATGCATAAGAAATACTGTTTAAATAAATCATTCAAAATTAAAATTTAAAATCAAGAAAATTGAATGTCTTTTTAAAAATCTTTGTGTATTTTTGAAGAAATATTATTTATTAGTATTTATTGTAATAATTGAGAAAAAGCTCACAAATTGGAAATTTGAAAAATTGATTTCAAAGCAATCTTTGTTAAAAATATGAGTTTATTGTTGAGTGAATTCGTCGACCTTTTAATTATGAATTTAAATATTGATTTAATCGTTCACTCATTCATTTCAATATATATTTTTAGAAAGATTAAGATTTTTAAGTCAAAACTCGGTTCGGATTTCAAGCATAGTATTAAGAAAACTGACTTCAATTTCAATACAATTGTAAAAATTTTGTACATTTTATGGTTTGATTAGCAAAAAGCTTAAGCAAAATGTTTGAATCATTTGAGCCGACATTTGGCTGATTTGGGAGACAAACGCAAGAATTTCTTGATATTCAATAATAAATACATAATAAAAGCAATAGTTGTTTATAAATAATTTTATTCAAAATATTTTCACATAATTTTTAGCTAACATTCATTTCTGAATTTCAAGCAAAAGAGGGCTAAAGTTATTGTCGGATCAATAGATTTATCAATTTTTCAGTTTTAATTCTCAAATGATTTCAAACAAATTGTTTAAGAAATAACTTTTAAATAAGTCTCAAAACAAAGTGAAACAAATTTTTGAGAATATTTTAAAATTTCAAATATAAGAGAAAAGTATTTATTCGAAGAATTTCTGCTATTATTCACAAAAATAATGATATAATTGTCTAAAAATTGTTTTTTGCTTATCTTTAGGTTTAAAATACATTTGAAGGTATTTTTCATAATAATATTAATACAAATCATACAAATCAAGTAATGTTGACGTAATAGCGAAAGGAATTTCGTTTTAGTCTCTCTTTTTTATCACATTTTAAAAACTTGTTTCCAAAACCAATGTTTGGAGACGTTTCTGATCAACACATCAGAACATCACATATCAGAAGAACAGTCAAAACACCACTATTTTCGTAGCAAAAGCTCTTCTCATTGTGTAATTCAATTCAATTTTCGCACTTTTTGTCTCTTCGGTCGAAAAGCATAACAAATGCCAGAAAATAATGACATTAAGAATATATTCCGTTGTTTTGGCGTAAAAACGATGAAATAAATACTCGAATGAAGTCGAAGAACACTATAATATATTTATAATATAAGTTATTATAAATGTTATGATCACAGCCTTTGTCTCATATATAAGCACTCGATTGAGTTCAGCAAAAGAGTCCACAAAACTAATGACAGCGAAAGTGTTGACTTAAATGAAGAGTCTTTTGACATAAAAGGAGAGTTGGGTTTCGGAGACTTCGACCAATTCTTCGACTTTTGGTCGTTTGTCTCGCCTTCGACTGTAAAATAAGGCGTTCGTGGAGTCGTTGGGTTGAAGTATATGTCGTCAGTCACCACATTATTCTGCACTAAATTGTAGTCATTATCATCAGAACCGTAACCACTGCCCGAACCACTCCCTGAGCCGTCCGTTTCCATCTCTGAGTCAGCTATAAGTATGGAATCAAACAATTAATAAATTTAATACAAATAACAAATAAACAAAATACTAACGATTGTCGATGAGATCGACGTCCTGTCCATTATAGGCCAGATTTAATTTATTAATGATTAACTTTAAAGTCAAGTTTTGCTGATTGATGATTGCATTGTGTCTCGTAGTCTCTAAACTAAGTTCAGTTCCACTCTTTTGATGGCTATCCGGCTTATTGTCGATTTCATAACTAAAATAATCATACGATAAGACAATAATACGTTAAAATACTTTATATTTAATTACATAATATTAGTGAATGAATAGACTTAAGACAAAGTATTAGTTTAGGAGAAAAAGCAAATAAAATAAAGGGAATTAACGAAAGGATGGCTTACAGAGTAATGTCTGAGCCGTTATAACAGTTCCTGTTATCAGCGGATATAAGTGTTGAGACGTGTTTATCGCTGCAAATACTTTGTGGCAATTGTGTCCAAAATCCTTTGGACTTTTTAATCTTTTTCTTAATGTCTTGAATGAGTCGATCCAAACCGGTTACGGTCGCAGCGGTAGGATTGGCAACATATGGCTGTTCAGCAAATTTGGGCGACTCCTCAAAGTTTGCGTCTCTGGTCTCACGTTTAGACTCGATGTGTGGTTTACCACAGGACTCGAAGAGCTGTGGATTAAAGTTAACGTAAATACAAGTCTTAAAAATGTCAACAAAAGGCATAGAAAGAGTGGCGAAGAGATGCAAACCTTATTAGAAACCGCGCCGCCGTTCTCTTGGAAATTCATAATGGCTTCGGAAATCTTGATGTCAATCGGATCGACCACTGATTCGATATTGAATGAGGTCTCCAAACGTGTGGCTAAAAGTAGGAGAGCGTCGATGTAGTTATTCCACTCTTTGTCCAGTTCTGAGTGAAAGGCCAGACAAGTGTTGACGACATTAAGGCAATAGTTAGCGCAAGGCTTTAATTCGTTTGATGTTTGGCATTGAGGGCAGAACGACATCTTCGTTAACGCTTTTGTACACTCAGGAGAGGTTGGGATCTATTTATTTGAATAACCAAAACCCAAATATAAATAGAGTTAAGTATAAACTCAAACGCTCTCTCTCTCTCGCTCTCACTGTTTGGCAAATTTGATGATTACTTACTTCGAGAATGTTTTTGATGATGTCTTTGCCATTAGACAAGGCCTGAACGAAAGTTCGCGTTGCTATGAATGAGCGCTTTATCTCTTGACTTAACTTTTTGGGCACATCTCCGAAGGGTTTCAGTTCATCCATATGTTTGCTGACACAACTCAAGTACTTATCGTCGAACTTATACTGACTGTTCAACACCTGAAACATCTTTTGGTATAACCGATGGAAAAACGTATCCAACGCTTCAGTCAGGTCTACGTTCCCATTGCTGTAGTAGTCCTCTAAGTCTTTAAACATATCCGTGAATATCGACGAATGCTTTTCATATAAGAGTCCATAAGTTTGTAAAAACATTTGATGGAAGTCTCGTTTCGATGTCTTTAGTAATTCCCGAAAGAATTCTAAACAAATTGTTTTGAAAAAAGAGAGAAAAATTTTAAAAATCAAATTCAAAAATAGTTTTTGTAAGCGTATAGAGAAGTAAGAGAGAAGTATAGCGAAGAAAAATTGGTGTTAAAAATGCATGTCTAGAAAGGAGAGCACATAAGCTGTGAATGGATTGGAATTCCTGAGCAACTATTTGTCACGATTTCCGGTCAGTTGTGTCTCAAAGCATATATGAATGCATTAATGGAATGCTTTGTTAACAGACTTCACAGATATTCACACCGTATTTAAAGACAGCAAAACTATTGCTTATAAATGAACACTACTTTTTGTCTGCTCTCTCTTTTCACACATTTTTTTGTTGTAAAAAAGTTTTATTCAAAAATAAGTATTTAAAATGAAAAGTAATTTTTGGATAATATGTTTCGTTCATTTGATACCAAATGCTTATTAAAGCTTTGGATGATTGGGAGAGAGAAGCCCTTAAATAATTGTTAAATAGTTTTAATTCAAAGTTAAATATAAATAAATGGTTTAGAAATGCGATTATAATCAATGATTAATTGAATGAAATGTGAAGAAAAAGGTAGAATTGAAGACATTTTGACAATAATTGAGGCATTTATTAGCCTTCAGGACATATAGAGTACGTGATTGTGTGTGGAGTCTGAGTGAGGGCTTAGTGTGTGTTTCGGCACATCTATTGAGAGTTTGGTTTGAGAGTGGAGTTTGAGTTGCATTCCAATGGATCCAATGGTTCCAATGGTTGCATACCTGAGAATAGTTTGCTTTTATGAAACAACTTTACTGTTGAATAGCGTATGAATAGTACAGAGTATACACTATTCAGTACTATATAGTTATAGAGAGGAATGCAAACAAATGTTCACTTAAATGCATTTCAATAGCGAATCACAGGCTTATAAGACTGCTATAACAGCCTAACAGTCTATCCCTAACAGCCCTATACTATAACCGCTTCCCTTCTTATGTCCAGAGGTTATGTTGTGTCCAAATGTTTGTTAAAACTTCAATCTCTCACTTCTCTCACCACTACTTTTCTATACACTAACTAAACATTGCGTTTATCGTAATATTGATCCAAATAATCAGTATTTACTGAAAACTCACAAAATACTCATTTGTTTCATTGTATTCATTCATCTCTTTATACATCTCTCACTCTTCACAGTATTTCCCTTTAAATAAATATAATTTACATTTTAAAACAAAAGTAAACCATTACTTAACACAAAAGCAAATTTATGTGAGAAATAGTAAACGAAAATAAAAACGAAACCAAAACGAAATGAAAACTAATTAGAGATTCAAAAAGAACCAGATTTTAAGTATTTATCCATTTTTAGTCATTCTTCCAAATGTGGACAAAAGGAAACATTGCTTTCATTATCTGCTTTTCAATTTAGGTCTTCAATCAACTTATATTACTTTCACTTCAATTACATATGATTTGTCCCTAAAAGCGATATTAAGACACAAATTGCTAGTATTTGTTTCAAATTGATTTGAAATTAAATACCTAACAAAACAACTCAATTTTGGACAAAATCAATCGCTTTTATTGTTTTTCAGACCATTTATTTCATTCAGAAACTCATTTCCAAACATATTTTGTAGTAATTTCTAATCAATTTTAATCCTATTTTGAAAGTTATAGTCATTTACCAATAATTTATTGTTAAGACATTGTTTTTCAAATGTAATTCAGTACTAAATCAGTGTTTTGTGAAAACATTTCATTTTAAGCATTGTTTTTGAAGGAGAATTTTGAATGAATTTGAGGCACAAAACCATTTTGCCATCACTTTTGGCTGTAATTCAATTGTTGGCAACAAATCTCTCTTAAGTGAAGCTAAATTCGGGTCAAAAGTTTGTATTCAATATATTTTCGCTTAAAATCTCAAATACTTTTCCTCTAAACTCAGCCGAAAAGAGAAAGTATTTCACAGAAAGAAAACAAATTATAAAAAGAAAACAACAAAATGTAAAACAATTTTCAGCTCGAGTTATGAATAAATAAATGATTGAAAAGTTTTTCATTTTATGGATGAGAAGTATTTGTGTAATAATTGGTTGTTTGGTATGTCTTCAGCAATGAATGGTTAGGTCTTCATGTGTTTCAAACAAAAAACGAGTTTTCATTTCATACATAAATATAACAATCATTACATCAAATGGACTGCATTTTGGACTTAAAAACTATACTAAATATAAGTTTCAATTGTGTCTCCGATAACACTATATTCAGACATAAGACATACCATTAATAGATACCACTATTATATCAACCAAATTACAGATAAATATTATAGTCTTTGTTATAAATTTGATTATTGTTAACAACTTTTTATGTAATACTAATACTACTAATACTTCCCTTTTCTGTCTTATATTTAAGTCAATCCTTGAATTAATAATACATTTCATTATAATTTTAATTATATTTTTAGTTCGCTATTAATTTTGTATTAAATTAGTTTTACATTTAATTACAATAAAGCCACGGCTTTGATTATAATGATAACATTTATATAAATAAATACATCATTAAAACAGTATTTAATAATAAATTGAAAGTTTGTTTCGTTTGAAACAAAACTTTTGATTAATTAAACGCAAGAATTGATGGGAAAAAGTATTTTTAGGTTCAATTAAAAAGCTGTTCAAATGAATGGCATTTAATGAGAGAAAGTAATTAAACAATTGAATTGAGTTATGGTTTGAATGTAATGTCATTTCAAGGGATGAGAGGCTCAGAGATGGGACGGGAAGACAATAATTGACAAATAATTGTCTGACAATTAAAGTGAGTGTTTGAGAGGGCGTTGTCTTAGACTTGATATTCAATTAAAGGCAATGAATAAGTGATGAATACATTGTAGTGAATGCAAGACATGTATTGTCTGCGGACTTACCATCAAATTTGGATGTCTTTTGCGATAATATAGTCTTCAAATCAGTGATGGTTTGTCTCAAAGCGAACTCAAACTGTGTTTTGATGTTTTGGTTGTTTTCAATCACTTTGTGATCGATTGGTATTGAATTTGAAACAATTATTTGTTGACAAAACACTAATAACTGAATCACAATCACTATTGAAATCATTTTTGTCTGATTTTTGGCCATTGATTACAATTCACAGTAAATGACAACACAATTGAATCAAATGTTTAACAGATAATTGTCTTATTTATGGTCACATAATATCCATTAAAACTTGTCATCAAAACAATGAAAATAGTGGTCAAAGAAATACTGACAATAAATACTGAGTTTTTGAATCAATGTTTTCACATATTATTGTCTGAAGTAGTGTTGAATCCAAGCGGCGACTCATCACAAGTGATTCACTCAACCAAACACTCACTCAACGCATACCAGACCTCACACTCACAGCCCATCCAACCATCAGCTCATGCGTCGACTCACCGCTCACTACACCATCACTACTACACCACCACTACTACAGCACTACATAAGACATTGTCACTTATCTTACCATTTCATAGACCAGGTCTGCCATCCAGACACCCATCCGGATCCACACCATCCAAGACCCCAAACGCACAAACACTAACACCACTAACACATGCCGTATAAGCTATACAATCACTCCTCTTCTCCATCTGCTCACTCACTGCTCACACACTCTACCATTGATTAACAAATCATTTTCTTATTGTCATCAAAAGTTATACATTTTCTTTGTGGAAGTGCTTTAAAAAGATTGTAGAGAAGTATGGGGTCAATAGTATAGTGCTCTGTCATTAAAGCAATCAATATGTTTGCCATTCAAAAGCCATAATAGCCCCAAACAATGATATGGCCTTAAGAGCGGACGTTAAACAACACTTTTGATCACTTGTTTTCTGATAAACTACTTGTTTCGCTATTTATTAAGAAATATAGCTTTTGTTTCTTTTACTGTTATTTATTATAGAAAACACTTTTGCCTTTAATTTCATAATTAATAAAAAGATAATTAAAGGTATTCTCTGCAGACATGCGCTAAATATCTATATTAAGGGAAATAAAACTTTGAAAAAGAGTTCAAGAATATGCGAAAAGTATTTGAAAAATGCTTATAATTCGTTTGTAATTGAAAATTAATTACATATTACTTGCTAACTAATTAAAAACGAACACGGTTATATTTAATTACACACTTGTTTGTTAATGATTTTAGAGGAAGTTTGATATAATAATATTTATATTGTAAAACTTTGTTATATTTCTAATGATTTGAATGTTTATGTGAATGACAAAGACATTCACATGTTTTTATATAAATCATATGATATTTATATTTCTAATTAATTGAGTTTGTATTGAGTGGAAATTTTTGTCAATAAATACAATAAATTTAATATTGAAATATAAAATAAATATATATAAAGTTAACAAATGTTTTTACGCATGAATTCATTTGTTTTAATATCCAATAGAAATGCATCCAATGAATTGGTTTCGGAGGAAAAATGTAAACTTTTTTGTTTGAATACAAATAAAATAGTAGTTTGTTATTAAAATTGTAATAACAAAGTGCGGTATTCTTCATGTGTGTTACAAAGTTTTTGTATTATTTGCTTTAAAAAGTGGTTCAAATTGAGTGATGACTTTGAAATTTCCATTTAAACGCTAACTTGTCATAAGTTTTCAATTTTCATTCAAAGTTTTTTTTGAATTAACTTGAAGTGCAACTGAATTAATAAATTGTGATTTTAAGCGAATTTATTTCAGCGTTCACTCTAAGGATTCCTTAATAAATGTAAATATATTTTTAATTTATAAATAATTCAATGATAGAAAACAAATTGGTAACAAAAATTGCTGTGAAAAGTGAATATACTTTCGTTTCTTTCATGAAATTGTAATTTAGGAAAAAGAAATCAATTTTCAAGTCATTAGTAATTCATTGCAAACGAAAAACTATTTTATGAACTATTTTAAAGAAAGATTACATAAATATTTCCAATAATAAATGTGGTGAATTTATTTTCAATAAATATTTGAATAATAAGTGGTTTTATTTATTACCATTCAGTGACATAAGAATCAAAGACTATAATTGATAGTAATTATTGTGTTTATCATTGAAAGTACAGTACATTTCGCACAAAGAATACATACATTCCGTACTTATTGTGCATTTGAGACAATAGTAGTCTAACTTATAATTAAAGTTTAATCAAACCATTGGTTAAAAGGAAAAACTTGTGTTGTTGTGGGACAGGTAGGCAATGATAGTTCAGTTCAATAATACAATACAATAATTGTGTCCATTGTTAAAGAATTGCTTTTTATTTCACTTGTTTTTAACTAAAAATGATTTAAATGCTAAAAATATGTAAAATATAACATAGCGTTGATTAAATCGACGGAACGGCGAAAATAAATTACAATAATTATACGTGTAGTGAATGGAGTCTAGAAATATGCTCAACAAATGAAAATCATATTTTACCCATTTTTGTCAACTCATTGAACAAATGATTGACTTTGAATGCAATTGAAAGTCTGCATAAATAATAATAATATAGTGTAGACCTCTTATAATAAAGTGTTCGTTCGTTTAAAAGTGTGTAAAAATAAAAAATAAAATATTGAATGTGTGGGTCATTGGCGGCCTCTTGAATGGTGAGAGTGTGTGTGAGAACCAGTTTATGGTTTAATAGTAGAGAATCGAAATGAATTTTATGAAATATAAGTTAAAGTATAAAAACATTTCACAAACTCCTCACACATACTATAATACATGAGTACATGAGATGTGTTTTATAGAGGAAAGAGTGAATTCTCGTCAGACCACTGTTGGGACGACGAGTTGAAGTGGATCTCAATTGGCGGCCAAATCACGAAACTATTTGATTCCTAATAAAACATATACTGTTTTTCTGTTAAGTTTATTCATTGTCTGATAAGAATCAAAGCCAACGCTATTAGTGTTTAACATCAAAAACACATACCTATAGGTATTTCTCTCTATCTCTATGTTATACTATTCTCTATAGTTATTAAAACCCCAAAAGCTTTTGTTATTCGTGTTAATCGAAAGCATTATTTCAGCAGTTTTTTCAATAATTAGTATTACATGATGTGTAGCGCTAGAAGAATACACGCTATCATATCAGTACTTGTGTTGTCATTCATCAGTTCAGGTGTTTAGACATACACTATGTTTGGAGTGAAACAAAACTAATTAATTACTTTTGAACTCACTTTACAAATATTATACTCAATTCTGCTGTGAATCCAATGACTGAGATATTAAAACAAAAACATTGTGAAATACAATACAAATAAAATATAAACTTTGTAAATATTTTAAACTTTATTGTTTAAAACACTTATGAGTTTAAATGCAATATTCCTTCAAATTCTTTAATCTTCTTTTAGAGAGGAATGTCTGAGAGGAACAATAAAATCTCATTTCCAACTTCAACTCAAAAAGATCTCTCGATGGCATCGATATGTGCGCCGACGGCCACCACAACAGTCACCAAAACTATACCCAACAACGGATTGTTGTGTCCGCCAGACATAAAGCCACGAAAATACAGTCTTCCGCTCATTAACCCAAACCAGATCTCTCCCAACGATTACCTGGAAAGTTGTCAATTGAGGAAATCATTCCCGTCGACAATACTGGACAGTCTGGACCTGCCGTCACAAAAGCGCCGCTTATCTCAGGTGGGAATAGCTGTTAGCAATCGGTTGTCGACAACGATTGGTGTGAAGCTGTTGTTGAGTCACAACCATATCGTGAAAGAGTCAAAGTGTTTGTGTTCGCGATTTATTAGACTTAAGCTCAGGAAACGAGGTCTCGTCCACAAACGGCTCAATCTTCACCGACTCAAGAGTTTATGCAATATTCGAGTCGATTCTCGCACTAGTCTTGTGGCCAACGAATTGAAGTATTTGGTGAATGAATTGGAGAGAAGTTATCCCAAGTTGTTCTCCAGTGTTCTCAATAATATCACTACAAATTCGTTCAAATCTGTGAATGAGATTCAATCGATTCTTCAATTGATATCTCAAGAATTGTTCCGAAACGACATAACGTGGGCCCGAATCGCAGCCCTTTATGCCATAACGGGAGCGCTGGCGGTCGACAGCGTACAAGTGGGTCATCCGGAGTACATAATGCCAATTATCGACACATTTACCGCTTTCATTGATCGCGACATCGCAGGTATTAAATGATAAATTACCCCTCAATTCATCAAAAGCTAATATAACTGGCGTTTGAATGACAGGTTGGATCGCACAACAGGGCGGTTGGGTAAACATTTTTCTACATTATATGACCACAATTTTTGAGATTAATTCTCAGAACTGTTTATAAATTAAAAGGAATGAGTTATACAAATGTGTGAAATAAAAATTTACTGAATATACAGTAAATTACAGTATTATTTGATTAGATTTTCTAACAATAGGTTTGAGATATGATTTGAATTTACAATCTTTTTCACATAGAATTTCATAATTAGAAAACCAATAATTTGATAGTTTTTTCACATAAATAAGTAATTAAAGCATACTATGAAGATGTTCTGTAATTTGTCTGTTAATCGATATATTATATAACAACAAAATGACTCAATTGCTAAATAAAGTTAAACTAATATTTATCAGTTCTATAAGTGCTGTACTTTAAGTATTTTATAGCTAAAATATACTGTATTATACAATATAAGGGGCTATAGTCTACTGTAGTTAATGAGCTATACTTATGAACAAATTCCGGTGCTGTTAAGATAGGCATTAACCAGAAACTGACAATTAAATGCCTGTCATTATATATCTCTCGCTTATAATTTATAGCTGGCTATAGTCTACTGTAGTTAATGAGCTATACTTATGAACAAATTCCGGTGCTGTTAAGATAGGCATTAACCAGAAACTGACAATTAAATGCCTGTCATTATATATCTCTCGCTTATAATTTATAGCAATTTATATCAAATACCATAAGAAGTCATATAAACTTTTTATATCTTTAATTATTATTCAAATAGAAAATATGTCTAAACGTTGTAAATATCAATAAATATTATTCTCGTTTATAACGGTTTAATTAATTTATGATAAATATAGATAACAAAACAATTTGTAAATTGGAAAATAAATGACATATCGTTTAAAACGCATAGAAATGTAATTAATAAAAATGTTTAGTGATATAGTGGTATGTTTAGTTATATACAAGTAAACTTTAGGTAACTTTAAAATAGCCAAACAAACTCTCATTTTCATTGCACTATTGGTTCATAATTAAGACATTTTTAAGATTGTTTCGGATGAACAGGACTGAAGTGTGAACCACTAAAAATGAACCCGTCCCTAAAAACTACAGCTGCCTGTAGTGGTGGCCACCCATGTTGTATACCATGTTGAATAGCATGTAGAATATTTGTGCAATTTTTACCTAACAATAAAAACAGCTCTTCTCACAGAACCGGCATATCCTTGAATTGTTAAGCAATACATTTTTGGTCTATAGATTGGTTTATGGAGTAATTTATCAAACCGTTTGTCTCTTTATTTTCTCAATACATATGTAATTCAATAACAAGACACTCATCACCGAAAAGCAACAAAACATTGAAATTAAATATTTTATTTGAAAATTATTATTTTAACGATCGTTTGTCTAATATTACAAATATTTCTCAACTTTATTATGAGCTTAAATGTGAAAAAATCTATAATATTTACATTAAATATTAGTTTTTATTAATTAACTTCAATTAAAAAGTAATAAACATTGGTAAACTATATATTTAAATAAACAAACTTATCAAATTATTGTTATTAACAATTTATTCAATTGTTTAATATTTTTCTATATATTCTATAAAAATATCAAATTAATCATTATGCTTAGAAACAAGAAGTATATTATTTAAATAATATTTAATTACTGTATAATTAAATAATTATAATATAATATAATATGCAAAAAGTGCCCAAAGAATGAGTGAAATTAAAAATAACACATATTTCACAGCAGTGTTGTAGTGATGGTCAGAACGAAATCGAAATATCAACGAATCCTTTAAAAATTAAAACTTTTAATTAAAATTATAATTTTTTAATTTAATTAATATTAAATTACTATTCATTTAATTATAATAATTTTAATTAATAAAATCGCTATTATTTAACTTTTTGTGGGAGTAAATTTATGATGAGTAATTCTGTAGTTACTTTATTATAAACAATAATTATTTAATAAAAATATTTGTAATTATAAGATTTGTAATATTTATTTAATTCTTTAATAAAATATTCAATTAGAAATGTTTTGCTATAAAATAAAATATTTTCATTTAAAATAATATTTCTATGAGAGGAAAATCTCAATTAAAAATAATTATAGCTATAATTCTATAAATCAACTTTAATACTATGATTTAGAAAACATTAAGTTATTTACAGTTAGCTATTTGTAAAATCAAATTAATGTGTAATTATTAAAGTTGTAATTTAAATCAAAAAATCAATTCTAACAAATAAATCATTCAACACTTTCATTGAATGGCTTTCAAAAAATGTATTGCAAAATAAAAACTTGTTTTTTTATAGAAGATTAATTGTGGTCATATAATGTAGAAAAATGTTTACCCAACCGCCCTGTTGTGCGATCCAACCTGTCATTCAAACGCCAGTTATATTAGCTTTTGATGAATTGAGGGGTAATTTATCATTTAATACCTGC